TTGATAAAACCAAGTCTCTCACCTCAAATTTTTAACATTTCCTTTACCTCTTCCGTCTGCGTACTTCTTCTGCAGAACTTGGCTTTCCGCCATCGCATCGCGAGCGTGTCGTAAGACACTCAGTCTGGTAGACAAGAAGTCATCAACTTCTTTACAGACAGAGTGGGGCTGACTTTAGCTAGCTGTTCGGTTATTTCTTCCTCACCAAGCCTTGATCCATGAAATGGCGGCGTCAGCGGGACGCGAGGGTAAACTAGCCAGTACACGTAGAACGGCGTGTAGCCGGTAGACGATGCACTTCATTGTTTAGAGCGAGATCTATAGGTGGCAACATGGCGCTCCAGCACTTTGGCGTCTCAGCGAAGACGCTGCAAAAAACGTCCTTGACGACGCGATACTCACTTAGCTTGAATATCGGTCTGCATATGGTCCGCTACTGACATATCCAGCATGGTGCCCAGCACCTTGAAGAACGTCGACCAAAACTTCCCAGTGAAGCGTGGGTCTTTGTCAGAGACAATTGACGCCGAGAGTCCATGATGTCAAAAGACACGATCCACAAACAGCGTCGCTGTACCTAAAGTCCGGCACCGCCGCAAGATGAGCCATCTCGCTCAAACGGTTCACAAAGACCACCACACCCGTGTTGCCCGCCGGATCCTTCGGCAGGCCAAACACAGAGTCTAAACTCATGGACTACCAACACCCGGAGGGTATCGGCAAACTAGCTAGCGGCGCCACCGCATTCAGAGAGGGTGTCGCCCTCTAAAACGTCTCACATATGCGCGCATAGGTGCTCGTCCATTTCTACAGCTTGGGCCACAAGTAGTGGTAATTCACCGAGCTGTACATCTTCTCGCGACCGAGATGACCACTGAGTGAGGTGTCGTGAGCCTCATAGAGGATCCGGTGCTTCAAATCTTCATCGTGGGGAACCACACTTTGTGATGTATCGGTCGAGTCGATGCTGTAATACAGCAATCCATTTTACAATGTATATCGGCGCAACCGTGCACGCAATCATGACGACAAATTCTTGTCCGAAATCTCCAACCTCTTTGATTCCGAGAGCCCGTAGCAGCGCTACGTACATATCATCACCCGCGTACGCAGCGTAGATCAAATCCGTCACGGACGACGTCACCGTTGTGACATGAGCAAGCTCATAATTTGGCCAGCGTGACAACGCATCAGCCAAAGCATTCTACTTTCTTGGCTTATACTACACCTCAAAGTTATATTCGGCGAAATAGGAAAGCCACCTGGCCATCTTCTGCGGGGAGTGAGAAGACTGAGTCTTAGTGTGTATAGACACATCATATGGGTAGATCACGAGCGGCTTGGAGCCGAGCGGGTGGCCGCATGAATTGACAAGTGCACACTTGATCGCAACTAATTCCCTGTCGTGAATTGAGTAGTTCGTTTCTGCAGTTTTCAGCTGGCGAGACTCGAACGCGATCACCCGATCTCGTGGCGTCTGCTTGCAGCAGTGCATAACCGATGGCAAAATCCGATGCGTCATAGATGACACTTAAAGGACGATCAGGGTCTGGCAAAGGCATGAAGGTGGCTGTCATTTACCCTGTCAAAAGCCTCCCGATGATAGGTGTCCCAACACCATTCCGTACTTCTTTAGGAAAATTCTTCAATGGCCGTGCCATTTCCGCATAATTTGCGCTATACTTGTGCCAGTAGTTGGCGAGGCCAAGCCACGTGTGCGAAAGTTTTGGTTCATTGAAACCGGCCAGTCCACAGTGGTCTTGGCCTTAGCGGGATTCGCTCGAAGGCTACGCTTTCCAATGAAGCACCCTGAAAAGGGTCATTCTTCGGCGCCGAAGATGCACTTGTCTGTATTAGCATAAAGCTTATTCATGCGCATGCACTCGAGCACCGCTCATAAATGGACGGGGTGTTCTCTTCATCCTTCCTCCCATGTTCCGCACGACTGTGGACGAAAATGTCGTCGAAGTATGTCTGTGCATACGCCCGGCGGGGCCTGAACAACTGCGTCACAAGACAATTAAATGTTTCTGATGCTTTGTCAGCCCTTGAGGCATCACCAGTCACTTCGAGAGCATTCTGCTCGGAGTACTCACCGCTATCAGCGGAACATTACTCGTACTCATGAGCAATTGGTAATACCCATCGACAAAGTCGAGTGCACTGCTCTTTGGACATCCAACCATATTGTTTTGAAGAATTTCCTTCCGAGGATCGGCGTCTGTGGCGGAATGGTGTCACACTGCTCCTTAGGCTGGGGGTCATTGGCGTGTTATGCATTATTCGGTTCCCGAAATCAGGTCGATCTCATGACGCACACCTCGGTCCGGAGATAGGACCGACGGCGGGTCTTTAGAGATGACGTCTTGCGTCAGTGACCATTTCTTAAGCTCGACTACCGAGCTTGGAGATAGCTAGCGCCACACACTTTTGCTCGGTCGGGAGCATGGAGGACGCCGTGGCTATCTCGACCTTCTCTATCCATCTTTGCCCTCGAAGGTATTAACACTTACCATGAGCGGCCTGGGTCGGAAAAGGTCATCCGTCGTCAACGGTGATGTCATGGACGCAGTCGATGCCGACATTTCTTGCTCTAGGTGCTCTAGCAGATCAATATTGTAGCTTAAAAAAGCCTCTAGGCGTGCGCTGGTCGCTTCAGGTCCTTGCAAAGTGAGGTGTTGCACGCCCTGCTTTTGAAGCCCGTCCTGCATGTCCTGGGGTAAATAAGATAACTGCTTTGAGCTCATAGATGGTCAGTCGTAAGACTCAAATGTAAATTGACTACATGTGCTACCAAGTGCAGCGGGGCTGCCGTAGCTCTTTTGCTTGGAGGATGCTTGGTTAATGTCGGTGACATTTGTTCTATACTTAGAACCAGTACGAGTGTAGCGGATCGCAATCAACTTACTCCAAGAGTAATTACAACCTAAACCCAAGGCTAATTTACTCGTCCGTTTAAAATGCAAGCTATATTTCTTGGTTTTATTTGTGGCAAAGCCGCCTCTATCTAAATATATATGTTATCTGTCTATATAGTAAATCCTTATTTAATGTATAACTACTGGCAGTCCAGCCACGTGCTAACTTCTTGTTTAAGAGTAGCCACACCATATTATTTGACCCACACGCTTCATGTCAGGGCACGCGAAACTCTGTTACACCACGAAATGAAAGCATGTGACACCTAAATTTTCCAAAAAACATAACCTTCGACACTTCTACTACTGTGCCCACCGCAAGATACGTGGCTATCGTATCCACATCTGCTATAAACAATATCTTGTGTACTGTCTTCTGTTTTCAGAAGTCGCGCGCCGTACTCCATTACACGACGCTTCCAAATCTATCAGGGCTCTATAGCATCACTAAGCCCTGAGACCTTGATAATAACACCAACAACCCTTCGCTGAGAGCCCCATCTATCTTGAAGATAGTCGCTCCATCTAAGGCTGGATTCCAATCACCACGGCTTCCACGAAATGCAAAAAATCGTTCCCAATAGACTGTCCTGTACCTAGAAAACAAACCTTTTCCCGCGAGAAGTCGTCGTCTCTCCATGTGTGTGAGCTCGACTAGTCGTACCTCTCAGTCGAGAGCGAAGGGGTTACGCAAGGTGCAAATACTTGTTTTCACACAGATTAAGCATCTGCAGTCATTGCCGCCTCAAAAAGATGGGGTGGACGCGAAAGGTTACGACGTAAGCTGCACCCGTTTAGAAAATCTTCAAGAAAATGCCAATCATTACCTCTTTTGAAAAATAGTCAGACGCCATCGCAGCGATAGGAGTTTAAATTCCTGGATACTGCCCGCACGTGTCCTCATTATTTGATTGGTCGACCACAAGTTCGAATTCATCCTATACGTACGGTTTAGCGGTGCGAAGCACCGCGACAACTATCGTTTTAAATGTCGTGTCGGGACTACTACTTCCAAGAAGATATTGCACATTAGTTTTCATTCTCGCATATGGCCTTCAGGCTTGGGGATTGTAAGCGCGACACGCTATGCTCTGTCTGGAGCATTGCTGAATCTGTGACTACATTAACTTCTCTCACAACGATGGAGAGATATTATACGTTCCATCTTTCAGAAGTCTGGATATTAAACATCAGCGGTCTCACAGCGGAAACCATCTGTTTCTTCACTCTCGCCCGGTTGATGCGCTCCTGGCCGTGCCTCACCCACGCATCTCAAAGCTGATGAGCGTTCCAAGGTGAGCTATTACCACCTTCGCCCCTTTGACCGTTAGTTCCCCCATCCCATCGTAGTCAATGATAGACATAAGCTTTTTAAGCTGATTGATTGTTCCGAGGTCAGATATTCATGTTCCATCCTCTTGGGGGATGCAAATATTTCACAATTCATCGTGGGATTCACTGCAAGTTCTGCCAAATGCAATGGGAGTATTGTGTACTGATCATAATGTAATCTTTGACTATCAGAGTCAGTGTTAACAAACGCACAGAGTTGAGGCTCGTGTGCTTCGGAATCAAAAGCATCTATCAACCAAAAGCATCTATCATTTGATGTGTCTATCTAGCCATGCTTTATCCAGAACTATTACATTTTGAATTTAGAATTAAATTAACAATTAAGATATAGGCTTGCTTTGTTTGAAACAAGGCTGTTTTTCCAGACGCCTATAACAGTTTTAATTTTTTAATTGGACCTCATTTTCATAAATATTGGAACCTACGAAAATTACAAGTGCAATTACTATTAGCTGTATTTACTGACCGAATAAGCAATAAATGTCCTCGCACGACAACAGTACTTTACCCATTTATATCCCACACAAATCAGGTCAATTCGAAAAATTTGTGACATACTTAGTCAAAATAATTTGTGAAGTTGCGGTATGACGCGCATGGGTCACATCTGTAATTGGTCTCACCTCCGCCTACGGTAGGCTCGTCATTGTCATATTTGCACCGTCACGTCCACGTCGCTGTTGATTGCGAAGTCCAGTTAGCAGCAACGTCTTATAGGCAGACAACCGGATGCGTGTGAAGAAACTAAACGTGAATCGGCGTAACAAACCAGGGGAAGACGAGCGGGACCTGACGGCTGCAGACGGTGAGCATTGCAAGTGGGTAAGTCCATCTAAACCTCAGCGTGGAGCAGCTGCCAGTGGCGGCAAGAGCAGCGGTTCGAGTAGTCCTACGGACGTCGAGCAGCAGCAACAGCTCTCGAGTGGTCAACTGGCATCGCAGTTTCACACTTGCAACAGCCGTTCATTTTACGCAGTGGGTGGCGTCGCACTGAAGATCCACGCAGGGGCGCCAGATACTGTGGAGATGACAGTGGCAAATCCGTTACGAAAGGAGCTGGCTGACCGAATTGCCGAGATTTTGCGAGTAATGAAGCCTCACGCACCTGATACGGTGCTATCTGCGCTGCCTAGACTGGCGCTGCATATTGAGAAGGCACTGTTTAAAGAAGCTAATAATGAGAAGGAGTACTTTGATCTGTCAACGCTGCATAGTCGCATCATCCGCATTCAGGAAAACAACCTCAAGAAGCTACTAGATCAACAGCAGCGGTCACAACCTCTTACAACCGAGCAGAGTGGTGGTTCAGCCAGAGCCCCTACTCGACTACTGACCGAGGAGCAAGCTCGCGTTATCTTTCGGCACCTGCAAATGTGGCGCCGAAAGCTTGTTGACATGTATGGCGTGGCGCCCTGGGATATTTTACCAAATTCTACGCTGGCTAAAGTGGCATTTTACATGCCAGCTACTGAGGAGGAGCTCTCGACGTGCGGTGTAGGAAATGAGCAAGCCGCGCGCTTCGGGTCATCATTGGTGCGGGTGCTAAATCATTGTCAAATTACAGTCTTGAAAAAACAGCTGAACCCATCCATCGATGCCAAGCATGTCCAGAAAATAGGTTTGGAGAAGCGCGGGTCTTCGAAACCGTCGGCTGTCGGTGCCAGTAAAAGGCGTAAAAAAGGTGAAGCTGTACATTCGGCCCTAGATTCAAGATTAAATGAAACCCCGTTGATGGCCCCTGCTCCTCTGCTTCCTGCTGTGGACTCACTTCCGACCTTGTTACCGACAGCCTCAATAAATCCTAACGGCGCGACCATAGCTCCCACGGCATTACAGCAGTCGTCATTTTCACCTGCAGCATCATCACAATCATCTTGCTGCCGCGGTCCTCAACAACAACCGTTTTTTGCACGGTTGCAGCCCCAACCGCAACAACCAAAGGAGCAGCAGCCAGAGAACCACATGCACCTGCTTATCCAAGGAGCAGGTCAACTTAGTAAGCAGCAGAATGCCAAGATCCTAGAGGCTTACGAACAGGAGGTTCAGTCACTGCGGTGGATGCTACATCAGTCTCAGCAGGAAAAGTTGCAGCTTGAAATGGAGGTTCATCGTTTGCGCACTGAGCTGCAGCGCACAAACTGTAGCAAATAAGATGGCAGTAATATTTCAGTATTTAAATTAGTAAGGATATAAAACATTAAAAGAATAAAGGCTTATACAATATGACAATATCCAGCTTTAAGACTTCTAATTCGCTCAAATGATATACTATCTTGATAGCCAAAATCCTGGTACGTTATTTGTGGTTATTCGGTTATCACACGCATGTCATGGCAGGCTTGTGCGTGCAGCGGCGACACTACATGTGCACTGTTGCAGCCGCACCAAGTACTTGTTTCTCACGAAGACGCAACTACACACTGTATTAAGCATTTGGATTTAATTCGCGTCAGCTTAAAGCTACAGCAGTCAGCTATATTTGTGCTGGAGTGCGTAATCGACCGCCGCCAGGCGTTTGATCCTGGCAGTGCCAAAGTTTATCTCTGTAGCGGACGCATCCAGCTGCATTCATGGGTTTTAGATGTATGCAGTCAAGAGGAAGACACGATTGTAACGCTAGAGAAAGCTCCCCTAGCACCTCTGGTGTCTATTTGGCTGAGTTTCAAGACTAAGTTTCCTCTTGTCGCGACATTTGACAGCAGCAGCGTTCGCCTGGAGTCGAAATATTCGAGCGTCGATTTGATGTTTGGAAGCGCTCTGAACAAAACTAATCTGGAAGAAGTGGTTCGACGTCAGCTATGCGCCTCAGGAACAATACTAGCAGCGGAAGTAGGACAACTCGTACCTGTGACACTGTTTGGTGAGACGTATGTTTTCAAAGTTGATAATGTAAAATATAAAGCAGCAAGTGAGGAGCAAATTCGTGTGGTTGTGTCTGGGTGGAGCAATTGCACAAATTTACAAGGACCAGCCGATCTAACAGAACAGCTCACCATGCTAAGCATTAAGGAGAAAGTTGATACAGATGCCGCTTTGTCGTATGTCAATAAGCTAGAAACTCGATTGTGGCATACTGGCTTCGTAGGATACAGTTCATTTGTGCAAGACGTGCTTTTGTGTATAGTCCTTATGCTAAAACACGGACAGAAAGGTCATGTAAACGATATGAAGATTGATCATGTAGGGTCACAAGGAGTGCTTCTTTCGGGTGTAAATGGCGTGGGAAAGTCACTTGCGCTTATCGCTTTGCACGGTGAGCTAGACCGCAAGAAAATTCGAACGTGGTGCGTTGACGGGATGTCGCTGCTTATGGGAGCTGCAAATTCAGCGTTTTCCTCGGCTTTTGAATACTTAGTGTACAATCTAGAACAGCATTTTCCTGGTTTAGATTTCTCCGGTGATCGTGCGACCGTGTCCAGTACATGTCCAGGAGTGGTACTTATTGATGATTTAGACGTGCTTTTTCAGTCGGTGGACGAACAGGTCACCGGTAGCTTAAAATCTCAGCTTTCGCAAGTTGGCTTTGCACTGCTGCGTTTGATGGATGAGTGTAGCTTGAGCAATAGACATTTGGTTTTTGTTGGAGTAACTACGAGCGCTGAGCTGAAGATACCTGCCTCTGCCAAGCGGATTGGACGTTTTGAGAAGGTGTTCGATCTGGTCGTTCCTACACAATCATCTCGCCGTGAGATTATAAGACGAAATCTTGTTGGGCTTCCCATACATCCTCAAGATATTTGTGCGACTGACGAATCAGATTTTCATTTGGCCTCGCGTCTAGCTTTGTTGACGGGAGGCTTCGTAGCGAAAGATCTAGTGCGCATTTGCCGGAATGCGGTCGCGCAAGCTTACGCTGATTTATCAAACGATGGAGTATCACTAAAGCCTTCAATATCTTGGTCTTACCTTTTGCAGGCCCAGCAAAAGGTTAAGCCATCGCAACTTCGCGAGTTAAATGTAGCGTCACCTGGTGCCCTAGCTGACGGAAATCTTGTTTTTGCTGGCTATTCCGCAATACAAAGACAGTTTGCTGACTTTATTTCCTGGAAATTTCACCCGACTGCAGCAATGAGTGTATGTTACTAGGCAGTGTGTGAATCTGCAAGTGCTGAATAATTTTGTAGCGTTTAGGGATTTCAAACGCGTCAGGAATATTGCTTTCAGGCCCATCAGGCTGTGGTAAGACATTGCTTGTAAAGACTATGGCTGCTCAAGCTCAGGTCAACTTTGTCTCTGTCAAGGTATTGTTTTGCTGTCATACGATTTCGGCAAATCTTGTTAAGCTAATTATGTGGTTGTAGTCATCGGAGTTGCTATCCAAGTATTTAGGAGACAGTGAAAATGCAGTGCGTCAGCTCTTTGGTACGAAACGAGAAGGTTTTTATCATCATGAGATTTAGTAAATCCAAAACTGTCTTGTGCACTTGAAGCCCGAGCGCGTGCAGCCGCCCCCTGTCTCTTATTTTTTGACGAGTTTGATTCAATTGCCTACAAGCGTTCATTTGGTAAAGGCGACGATGGAAGCAGCGGCGGTGGAGTCTACGCACGAGTACTCTCCACAATTTTGAACGAAATGGACGGTGTGGGCTCACACCGTGTAGCCACCCCCCCTGTCTCGCTGAACAAAAATGCCTTCAATTTAAACGCGAACGGCGAGGGAATCCTTGTTGTTGCTGCATCAAATCGAAAGGATTCTTTAGATGCTGCTCTCGTTCGTCCAGGCCGTATCGACAAGAGTCTAGAGTTAAGTTATCCATCACGACAAGATATTCAGGTGACGAGCATCCGCAAACATCATGTTTGACCTTTGCCTTAACTTTTCTTTGTATGCATAAATTAGGAAATTTTTGCTCTATACACATCTAAGATGCCGCTAGCCGCTGACGTTGACCTTCAAGCACTTACAGCACGACCCAGAGGGTACAATATTTCATACTGTACAAAGATTGAATGGCACACTGACCACGCTTTGAACCGCAAATAGATGTCGCATGCTAACAGGAGCTGACATTGCGGCAATTTGCAAGGAGGCTGCTTTCCGCGCACTTCGTGAAGACGTCGAAGCGAAGCTAATTCATTTGTGCCATTTTAATGCTGCATGGGATCAGCGCGCAGAAATATCCCCGACTTTGACGACCCATCTGAAGCCAAAATAGACTTTGTAATATATGCGTGATGCGCGGCATGGGTGTAGTTTCAGACACCCATAAGGTCCATAGCGATTCTCCTTTAGATGTCAGCGAGGTGATAATGAAAAATGGCTGGGCACGTCACGCGGAATTTGTTTTAACACTTGACGTAGATCTTTATTACGAGCCAAAACTGCTCTCATTGCTGACTTTTTCTTTCGAACTGGAACGGATTTTCCTTGTACCTCTGTTTCATGCGATCTGGATCGCTTCTCCTTGCAATTCGTGCATGCAGTTGTTGTGTAGAGAATAGCTGCACCACTTCTATCATCTTGTCCGTCATTCATCTGACCGAACACCGTTTTGAACGGAAAAAAGGCTTGCAAGAAGGGGTGACAGAGCGCCCTTTTTGCGGTAATTCTCGTGCACGGGTTCACGTCCAGTAAACTAAAGATGAAGTCTTGAAACTGATTAGCCTCTGGTGCTGCTGCTTCTAAACGAGCTTGCAGTAATGTGGAGACGGAATTGTTGACGGCAATTTTAGTTTTTTTTTTATATCGTTCAGCAGATTGGTAGGGAGCACACGCCGTTTCCAATGGAATTCCGTGCATCACGATACATTCGATCTGATTTAAAAGGTGGTCATTCTCGTGTTTTGTAACATCCATGCGTTTGTGCGCTGAAGTTTCCAGAGCTGATAACATAAATAACGGTTTACCAGAAACACACTCGATAAGCAAGCAACCAAGTGACCACATGTCCATAGCAGGGCAAAGCAATAGCCCTGCAGCCACTTCTGGAGCTCGATACGTGACAGTCTGAACATCAAAGCCTCCACTCTTACACTCTGCAGTATGCGCTGCCAACTCACTCGAATCCAGGCAATTTCCAAAGTCTATGAACTTCACTGGCGAAGAGCATGGCAACAGTAGAGATGATGATAACATATGAGCTTTTGCACTTGTGCGCACAACATTCTCTGGCTTCACATCTGCGTGAATGAGTCCTTGATCATGGAGAAATGCTAGCGCGCCACAAAGATGCACCGCCATCTGACGAATCTCCGTTAAAGTTAGCGGCTGGGCAGTTGAGAAAACACTACACATTTTTTCCTTATACTGTGTATCAGGGGACTGGATGGTCATGGCATCAGATACGAGTTTCCGATCTCGTTTAAATAGCTTGATCGTCCAATCGGGAGCTCGGACTGCCTCGGGCGCTTGACGCCATGGTCCCCAGCATTCCACATTCAGTACTGGAGGTCCAAGTAGCTCCAGCACAAGACAAAAAAGACCCTGCTCTTTAAAGGTTTCTATTAGACGCACCACTAATAGGCATGCTCACAAAAAGCGAGTCAGCATTTATCCAGTAGAAGGCTCGCCAATTGAGGACCTACCCGCACAAGATGCGTGGAAGTCGACTTCGTTGATCCGTCGCAGCGTTGAAGCCTCATGCTCACCTAGCGCGTTAAATTCTTGCTGGCGCATGCATTTTATGGCCACGTGACACTGCTGCTGCACGTCCAGAGCACTAAATAGTTGAGAGATGAGGGTGAGGTGGACAGCAAGCTTCTTGGAGATACGGACGTACATACCGAATGATTACTGCAAAGGTGCCACTTCCAATACGGCGTAGGAAGCGGTAGCGGCCGTTGTGCAGCAGGGTTTGCCCTTCCACCAACGTCTGCATTTTTACGTACTTTTCAAACAGATATTGATCATACTGGCAACATTTTGCTAGAATTACGCATGAATGAGATTTAAAAAAAGTATCAAGCATGCTGACGAAAACTAAATCATGTGGGAGTTTAATGCCCGAATGACTCTCGCACGGAAGTACTTGCTGGACCACGATCTCTTAAGGTCAGAGTCGGCAGTGCAACTCAATACATCGAATGGAAAGTCGCAGATATGAAAGCTCTGGTCTTGCTAGTCAAAATACTCTCTCAGCCGACTTGCCAAAAAGCAAAGTTGAGCAGTCTATCGGCTGTAGCGTAATTATTGAGTCTTTGCCAATCAAGTGGGTTGAATCAGCCTCATTTACCTTATCTAGCCTCATAAACTGCGCAAGTCATTACAACCACCATACTCACCGAAACAACAGATGTACATTGTTGTGTGACATTCCCAATTTCTTCAGGCTTCGTCAAGAGTATGAAATGCTGCTTGTCTCAGAATTAGTAAAAAATGTCAGAAGAAACGCGAGGATTGCGTTACAGAGAAAAAAAATCCGAGCACTTGCGCGGAGAGGCTGCGGTGTTGCCCCACTCATTGATTTGCGCTCAAAACGACGTACATGCCTCTGCAGAATCTACTCCTTTTACATAAATGTTGTGACAGATTCCAAGTTCCATCGGTACCGTCACGAAGGCTTTGGTTCAAAATCAACTTTAGAATGATACCTCGGCTACTCTTCGTAGTGTGCGCGCCGCTATGGCTTCGGGCCAAGACGAAGTAAAGCAACAGGCCATACCAAAGGCAGGTAGGACGCAAGAATATGTTGTGGGACATTGAATCAACTCTACCTACCTACCTACCTACCTACCTACCTACCTACCTACCTACCTACCTACCTACCTATACAATTAAAAAACTAAGTTACAACCGTCCTACATCGGTTGCAACTTGGTCTTTTAGATCGTAATAAGAAATACATTGAGTTATACTCTTATTATGAAAAGTTAATGCGAACACATCCAGTATTCTACGTGGACTCTCCGCGATCTCGCTTTTACGAGCAAGTAAGACGTGAAGAGCTCTGTTGCAGACGAATAGATGTCTCAACCAGCCACTACTCTCTGCTCCAAAGCAGCGACGTGAGTCTGAGCCGCTGGAGGCGTCTAAGGCCAGGCAGTACGATGGAAATGCTCCAAGAAAAAATTCGAGATGTGGCTTATCTCTGTCTCTGATGCACACCGTGACTCTCGGAGAGAGTCGACCGGCCACCAACTGTAATGAGGTTACACGTACTCTTATATGAAAGAGCGGGTCGGAGAATAAGGTGTGGCCGTACATAGGTGTAATCCGAAAATAAGCCACCACGTGGCAGGATTGCCAGTAGTAATGCATATTACTATATTAACTAGTTTTAATATATTAATTAAGTATTACTATATTAATTAGAAAAAAACCTAAAGTTTTAGATATTGGCGGCTCTGCCGAAACTAAAGCCATTAAATGCAGTTTCAATTCTGAGCGGAAGAGGTCACTTACCTTGGTTAAGATTTTCAGTACTCTTGAAGGCAGCGGATTGCAATCCGCTGCACTCGAACTGGTTCTTATCAAGATCGTAAGGTCGACCTTAGCTAAGCTTCATCTAAGCAAAGAGCTACGGCAGCCCCGCTGCACAACCATGAGAGTCAATGAGAACATCAATCGCGGGAGGATTGACCTCCGACGGCACAGCTCAATGAGCAAGAATGATCTTCATTCACGCGAAACTTTTGGTGTGCCGGCAGGTATACCAGGGCTTAACCCTTATCCAGAAACCATGGGAGTTCGAAATCCTTCTTCGGCAATATTGCTCTGGTATCGCGGCCGCAAACGACCCCGAGTATCCTCGGCCTTTGTTTCTCTAGGAGAAGCATTATAGCGCGATTCCTACTTGTTGGAGGTTACCGACTTTGCAGTAGAAATACCCTTTGGTCGTATTTATAACAGCTTTCTCACGAAGACAAGCGGGCTGTAAGAAACAGAAACCTGAGGTAATGGGTTATCATCTTGACGTGCGCGTCGTGCTCTAAATTATTCAATCTCAAGCATGAGATGACGACGCTCAAGGCGGACGTCAGCTTCGTTACAGCTGGCATGAAAACATTTAAGAAAAGTGAGACGGCGTGCTTTCCTTGTCTAGTGCGCGAACTGAATCATAAATAATTCTAATACCCATGATAAATTCCACATGGAGGGTAAGGGTTCACGAACCGTTGCTGCTGCAAGCGCAGACGGTACCTCTCGGTAGTGATGACCCGTGTGTTGAGAAATGCTCACTGAGTGACTTTTTCGCGCTCATTTTGCTCCGATTTTTAGTGGAAGACCCACACGCATGGGCGCAAAGGAACACCACATCAACGAGACGTAATCGCGACATATTTTTGACGATTCGGCGTGACTCTTGCGCTTGAAGTAAAGCAAGCTGGTTACCTTGAGTCAAGCTCACTCCGTTGGCAACGAGCTGGAAATCGCTGTTGGTTCCGCGGCGGGGATATTTCTCACGAATGGAAAAGATTTCGAGATGCAACGGGCAGGCTGAGCGTGGTGAGTGCTTTGTTCTCGGAAAACAGCTGGGCCGTGTATTGGCGAATGACTGCTAAGGTGATTGGTCGGGATTGCAAAAAATAATTCCTTCTCCACCAAGCCTTGAGCCATGGGATGGCCTCGTCAGTGGGACGCGAGGGTAAATAAGCCCGTTCACGTAGAATGGCGTATAGCTGGTAGATGAATGTTTAGAGCAGACTCCACGAGTGGCAACATAGCGCTCCAGTGCTTCGGCGTCTCAGCGCAGACGCTGCGAAGAAAGTCTTCGACGACGCTATTTTTTTCGCGCTCAGTCTGACCATCGGTCTGCGGATGGTCCGCTGTGGACATAGTCAGCTTGGTGCCCAGCACCCTGAAGATTGTAGACCAAAACTTCCTTGTGAAGCATCAGAGACAATTGACCCCGGTAGTCTATGCTTTCGAAAGACACGATCGACAAACAGCGTCGCTGTACCCACACCGTCGATGGTGTTCGGCAAGATAAGCCATCGTGCTCAAACGGTCCACGAAGACCACCACAAACTGTGTTGCCCGCCGAGCCCTTCGGCGGACCAAACACAACGTCCATACTCGTGGACTGCTAGCACCCAGAGGGTGCCGGTAAATTGGCCAGCGGTGCCGCCGCATTCGGGGAGAGTTTTACCCTCTGACACGCCTCACACGTGCGCACATATTTGCTCGTCCATTTGTACAGCTTGTGCTACCAGTAGCGGCAACTCACCGAGCTGTACATCTTCTCACGACCGAGATGACCACTTAGTTGGGTGTCGTGGGCCTCATAGAGATAACGGTTTTTTAAATCCTTATTATGGGAAACCACAATTCGTGGCGTATCCGTTGAATTGGTGCTATAATACAGCAAACCGTTATTTAACGAATATCGGTAAAACCGTGTGCGCAAACAGAAAATAAGAGCCATCTGGCCATCCTCTGCGAGAGGTGAGGCGACAGAGTCGCAGTGCGTAATGGCGCATGGTCTGTGTAGATCACAAACGGCTTAGAGCCAAGCAGGTGCATTCTGAACTTGACAAGTGCATACTTCATCGCAAGTAACTTTTTGTTGTGGACTGGGTAGTTCCTCTCCGCAGCCTTGGCGAGAAAGATTCTTTAAATGAAAATGAAGTAACAGTAGTAGTCTTGCTGCACTTTGCTTTGTATACCCACCTTAGTTAATGGTTACCATCAACTGTTGATAAGACAAAGTGATATTTATCTCATTGCAATGAGTACTGCGAGCGTTTTGCTTCCGGAGTGGCTGATTGTACCACAAAGATTATAAAATGCACCAGGGGCGCTCCAGCGTTTGGTGCCACAGCTATTCAGGCCACATTGTGACCATGCACAGAACTTTTTTGGCGATATACTCGTCCATTGTCGTACAGAGCACGATAAGCTGAATGAGAGATGTCACATTTTTAACTAGTTAGTAATGCTCGGGCATATGCGCCTCAATAAGCTACATGCCAACACCGACAAGTGTACCTCTGCTTCCGACAAATTCTCTTTCTGGGTTGTCACAGCGGAGGAAAGGGCCCCGCAAAAATAAAGACTTTCGTGAATTGGCAGGTATTCTTCACGTATCCGCTTGACGAAGTGGATCGATCGGGCCACATAGCGCGTACATACAAGTGAAATGTCGCATATGTCGCATATAAATGGGTACGGTGAGAATTATGCCAGCCTAGCACGAACCGTCATTAATCTCTTAATAAAACTGTACGACAGGGCTACCATTCGTAAATGGTACCATACCTCATTTGCAAATGTTTTCGGATTCTTGAGTTCCACTTCGGCAATATGACCTTGGTGCCGTGGCCGCTTTCAACCTACCGCACCCTCGGATATTACTTAAATCAAAGGCACGGTCCCTGTCGCAGCGCGCTTTCTATTAGTGGATGGTAGTCGACCTTGTAAGGAATAGGTTTCTCAATCGGTAGCTGTAACAACTTGTTCTCCCTTAAACTGAGTGGATACTCATTGGCACTGTCGCCGGTTTGTAGTGCCCACAGCGGAATACGTGTTGATAATATAATGGGGACAGTCCCATTACACATGTTGTGTAAAGCACATAATTTTGTGTGAGGTCAGCTTTAACAATATATCTTGCATAGTTATATATTCCTTAATTCTCTTTATCAGGATTGGACGCTACTTATCGGTTTAGAAAAATTGTTTATGACCTTTCTCATCTCATTAGACAGCTGTTACAGCTACCGACGAAGGGTCCTATTTACTGCAGTGTTGGTTGCCTCCCGCTAGTGAAAAGCTTGCTGCGATGAACGATTCTGTCTCTTATTATAAAAGGGATAACTGCCAATGGTTTGCCGGGTTGTGAGCGGTCACGCCACCGAGTAAAACTCGCCGATGTGGAACCCAAGACTCCCAGCTTTTAGACTAAGGGTAATCCTTAAGACTTCACAAGGTATTAGCACCAGCACCAGTGCACGGCAATGGTACTGGACCCATTACACCACCT